CTCCCCCAACCTCACCCAGCTCGGTGCAGCCTGGGGAACAGATGAATCCATGAAATTCTAACTCCTGAGCCCTTCCAGAACTTAGAGGCTGTGCCCATACCCCCGGGGCACCCCCATGCGTCCCCCTCCTTACCTGGAAGGGGTGCTTTACCCAGCACGCTCAGGCTGACCAGGGGCAGCACGGGAAGTGGGTGGTGTTTTGGGGGGAAATCAGGGAGAGCCCGGGGTCCAGGGTGGGCAGAGCATCGGAGCCCGTGTGCAGCCTCGGAGGCGCAGAGAGATGGGGACGGGGGTGACCTGGGGAGCCGGCGCTCAGACAAGCGGGCAGCGGTGAGGATGCGGTGGGCTGCCCGGGAGAGGAGCCTCGGCCGCCGAATTTCCCGGCCTTCCCAGGCGCAGGGCTGAAGCCCGTGGGCCGTCCCCACGTCTCAGCGCTGCCACACGGGGCTGGGCTCCCGGGTCTGCCCTGCAGGTGCACGTCCTTCACTCTCGGACCCCTGTGTCCCGCACCCCAGGGCGCCCTGTGCCCCAGGGAGGCAGCTCAGCGGTCTAGCCAGCAGACGGTCAAGACGGGCCTGTGGCGCCTCTTGCCACACAACTAAGCCATCACCCAGGGACACAGTATCTTCTCAGGGGCCTCTCAGTGGGGCAGGCTCTGTATGACACATACTGGGCAGAGACCCCTCCGTCACGGCCTGAACACCTGGGGCTGGACGCTGCCGAGCTGAAAGCCGCACTTCACAGCAGGCGGCCCCTGCTGGGGACAGTCCTGCCCCTCGGGCTGAGACGGAGGTTTCAGGCCAATCCCTGCCCCCTCCTGGGACCCGGCGGGCTGTCTGTGGGAAGGTGAGCACAGGGCCTCTAATGGCCTTCCCTGGCCTGGGGTGTCCCAGCAGGCTGGCTCTAGCCGTAGTTTGAGAAACAGCATCTTGGAGACGCCGGGGAGGAGCGGGCGGCCGGCAGAGGGGAGCGGGCCTGTGTGGCCCACAGACCGGGTCACCGTCCACCTCGAGCGCCGGGGGACAGACGGCACGTGCCCTGCCTTCCTCACGCAGCTCGGGGGCACGGCGGGCAGCAGACCCGTAGGCAAAAGCAGTCACCTGCACTTTTCACGTCCACTGTGGAAAAGCGGAGGTGAAAACACAGACTCTGTATCACGGCGTGGCAGGCGGCAGCCGAGGGGCCCACGGCCGAATGGAGACGCCAGACCGCCTGGGCCGACGGGGAGCTGGCCAGGGAGGACCACCCAGGCGCCGGGGGGAGGACTCCACGCCCCACCCAGGCCCTGGCTGACCGGCACACTCTCCGGGGTGGGTGCTGTCCTTGGTCTTGGGTGCCTCGCTTGGTCTGGTGTCGAGCTGAGGTCGAGGCGCACCTGGCCAGGTGGCCCTTATCTCCAGGGCTCCGGAGACAGAGGTCGGTTGCCTGGCCGCCTGCCGGTTGTCGTCACAGGCTCCCTCGGCTCCCAATGGGCTCTTGGCCTGAGGCGACGCCTCTCTGGATTGCAACAGCTCCCCCCTCCGCCCCCGTGTCGCTGACACAGGGTTCCTTCCTGTTTGGGAACAACGTGCACACCCCCCCTGGCTTCCTGGCCTGTGCCCGCCCACCCACCTGCTGGGACGAACCGGCCAGTCCTCCCAGACCCAGGCTTCCCCCTCCCTCCCACGTGCCGCACCGCACAAAGCGGGGTCCTTCCCCGGGGTGGGGCGGGCCGGACCGTGTGACCCGGCTGGCATGCGGCACACGGCTCGGCGGAAGGGCGTCCGGGGGACCCCACGCAGCTGAGATGACTCCCTGGACGGGAGGCTTGGCCACAGCCCAAGAGAAGAGCAAGCAGGGCTGAGCAAAGAAAGGGACAAGCATTCCAGGCAGAGGGAACAGCACGTGCCAAGGCACAGAGGCACGTGTTAGACTGGAGTGAAGGGGTGTGTGTGCCTGGAGGACACAGGGGGAGGTGGTGCAACCCCCCAGCCGGGAGGGAAGGGGGCCCAGAGGAAGGGGTGCCGCCACCAAGGGAAAGAGCCAGGGCAGCTGCTGAGCCGAGGGTGCCCGGCCCCGGGGAGGGCATGCTGTCCTTGTTCTTAGCGGGCAGAAAGGCGCACGGTGCGGTGTGTCCTGTCTGACCAGCTCAGGGCAGAGGGAGGATTCACCAGGGCCGGGCCGGGCTGACACCGCACCGTGACTCCCGGGGCCCAGGGCTACGCAGGCTCACCAGGCTGTGGTGGGGCAGGTGCCACGGTGGGGCAGGAGCTGAGAATGCCGGCTCCATTAGGGGGTCTGCACACGTCCTCCTGACACGGGCCTCCAGCTGCGTAGACCCCCCACCTTTGTCCTTCGGCCCCTGCGGTTCCCCCTGGGACCTCACTGCCCTCCTGGCCCTGGGACCGGCACCCTTCCCCACTCTCCAGGCCCCCAGTGCTTCCCGGCAGCCCCCTGGGGTTCTCCCCTCTTCCAGGCTCTCGGCTCCCAGCACCCCGGACTCCTCTAGTCCCCACTCCTCCCCTACCCATTAGGGCTTCTACTTTTCCTCTTGCTGATACTACATGAGCTGGAGCAGCCAGAGGGTCCTGGTCGAGAGTGAGTGCTCTGGGAGAGGGGAAGGAGGGGAGGGAGGGAGGG